AGTAGACCTATTGCTTATAGTATCTGAAATATGGACTTGACCACGAAAAAACTTAACCTTGTTCACTGATCCATGAAATGAGGTCCAGGTCAAGCAAAAACTGTCTGACAGGCATGAGGACATTGCAAGGTACACACATACAAAATATATTTATCCTATTATTCATAATAAGAGAGAAATGAACATTACAAAAAATCTTAACTTTTTTTCAAAGTAGTGACAGAACCATGAAAATGTATATCATATTTGTTTTTTGTTTATTTTTTTGTACATAAATCAGGCTGTTAGTTTTCTCCTTTGAATTCTTTTACACTTGTCATTTCAGGACCTTTTATAGCTTACTATATCATATGAGTATTTACTCATTGTTTAAGGCCAAACGGTGACCTATATAGCTATAGTTGTTAACTACTATATATGTCCTTTAATCTCTAGTGGAGAGTTGTCTCATTGGCAATCAAACCACATCTTCTTATTTTTATAATAAGTCACTCGATCAAATCAAAGTGCTGGTGAGAACTGAAGGGTAAAATTGCTTTAGTTTTGCAACTTTGAGAATTTCTAAATAAAACATTGAATTGTATTTTGCTAAGCAAGTTAACAAGCATTCTAAGAGTATTGCATGGCAATACATAGTCCCCTACCGGGTAAAAATTCATTATACTGGAACAAAAAGCTAACTTGTTCTATAACTTGTCATGGTGTAAACAAAAAGAAAATATCAAGTCAATATCTTCAAGCATGACTAAAAACAGTGTGGAAAACTGATTAAATGAGTGAATTTTTCAAGTCCAAGGACCATAACTCTGCACAAAATTATCAGACCGAAACAAAATTTCGAACTTGATCTGTATAACTTGTCATGATAAAGCTATATACCAATTATCAATCAATATCTTCAAGCATGATGAAAAAAAGTGTGGAAAACACTCTTTACATTAGATTTGATTAAAATTATAGTTCTCTAAAATTAGATATGATGTAATACAGTGTATATCTATTTTCAAATTATAATCAAATATAATTACTAGTTCCAAATATTTTTTCTTTTATTTGTCACAAACTAACTATTTATAACGGTTTTCAAAATAATAGACAAAACTTGCATTTTACCCTTATGTTTTATTTTTAGCCATGTCAGCCATCTTGGTTGGCAGGTAGGGTCATCGGACAAGTTTTTTAAACTAGATACCTGAATGATGATTGTGGCCAAGTTTGGTAAAATTTGGCCCAATAGTTTCAGAGAAGATTTTTGTAAAAGTTAACAGACAACGAAGACAGACGACGGACGACGATGACGGACGCCAAGTGATGAGAAAAGCTCACTTGGCCCATTTGGCCAGGTGAGCTAAAAAAGCACTTTTTTTTTGTTCTTTAAAACTTTTTATTAATATCTTAAGAGAAATGAAGGCTTCGAGCAAATGCAATGTGATTTCCATTTTAATTTATATTTCCAAGGGGCATAACTCGTTAAAAATATTTGATCAGAACTTATTTTCTAAACTGTCAAAGACATTGCTGATATAAACCTCATAGAAAAGTTTCATAAAATTCTGGCAAGAATTGAACACATGAGAGTGCTAACATTGCAATTTTCCATATACTCAATATTTTTCCAAGGGGCATAATTCTTTTAAAAATAATTGATCGGCACTGATTTTTGAACTCTTCAAGTATATCATTGATGATATAAACCTATAATATAAATTTCATAAAAATCTAGCAAAAATTGTACACATTACAGCGCTTATAAGGCAATTTTCCATATAATTAATATTTCCAAGGGGCATAAAATTTAAATTTTTTTTGATCTGCACTGATTTTCAAATACCTCCAAGACATTGCTTACATAAACCTATGATTCAAGTTTCATAAAATTCTGGCAAGAATTGTACATATGAGAGTGCTAACAATGCAATTCTCCATATAATTTATTTTTCCAAGGGGCATAATTCTTTTAAAAATAATTGATTGGCACTGATTTTCGAACTCGTCCAAGACATTGCTGATATAAACCTATGATATAAGTTTCATAAAAATCTGGCAAGAATTGTTCACGTGAGAGCGCCAACAAGACCCGACGGACAGACACCTGGTATTTCTATGTCCCCTGCAACGCGTTACGCGAAGGACAATAAATTGCATGACATTGACTGGATATGATCTAAATAATGATCACTTCACTGCACTATTTTGTTTGGACTACCAAAGGTAGTGATCAACCTTGGAAGATATAGATATCAAGTTAGTACCATAGGGTTTTGACTGCATTTCATGCAATCTTTATATAATTACCCAAAAACCCAGATTTATATTCAAACCATAATTGGCTTTTGCTCAAAGATCTACAAACATTATGGTAATGTACATGTTGACAACACAAAATGTACAAATGAAAATAACCCACAGTTACTAAATTTTCAGGCCTATTATTAAAATTTGTAAATATGTGGCAAGGGCAGAACCATGCCATTTGGTGAAAACTTTATAAACAGAGTCCCATAACACCAAAAACAATAATTCAGACCATTATCAAAATAAAATTTCATCAATCTTTAAATTGTTTTATAACTTAAAAAATAAAAAAACAAGAGGCTGTCAGAGTGACAACAAACCGGATTTTCCTGCATGAAAATGATATTTGCAAATCTGGACCCCCAAACAGGATCAAGTAAAAAAAAAATTTAGATTCAGCATTTCAAAGAACCCCATATATTCAATTTTTGTTGAAATCAAACAGTTTAATTTTGGACCCCCGATTAGGACCAACTTGAAAACTGGGCTCAAAATCAAAAATCTAAAGACATGTTTATTAATAAACAATTTAATTTTAGTTTTTAAAGGAGTTTGCTCCATAAATATATATATATATATATATGCGTTTTGTTAAAATATACTTTTTACTTTTTGGTCTTTTGGAAAATGTTGTTTGTGCTGTATTTAGACCCCTCTACCAAGAAATTTGTTTTACATGCACACGTATAAAAATTGCAGTTTTTATCCAACGCAATCATAGGTTTGAACGTTGTTTTCAATTTAGACTTGTTTATATTTTTTCGTTTGGGCTTGTATTATATTTTCCTTCGGGTTAATATGATCCGTTCATCCTATTTCGACTCTTTAAAATTCAAGATCTAGAGTCTGTCCTAAATTGAGGTAAATTATATGACCTTCCAAATGCCATATCGATCCCTAACATCACTGAAGAGACATTGTCGAAATCAGGATATGGTGTATAAAATTTTTTGCACCTCATGTTTGCGATATACCATCTTTTCCGCAAGTTTATTGTTTTCTGTTTGGTATCAAAATTAATAATTAAGATCCATGTAACATCTGGTGATCAATTTATTTGGCAATCGCCAATGGCAGTCAGCAGGGTTTAAGAACATCAGTTGTTCGACCTGTTAGTCAAATGCGTTTTGTTAAAATATACTTTTCACTTTTTGGTCTTTTGGAAAATGTTGTTTGTGCTGTATTTAGACCCCTCTACCAAGAAATTTGTTTGACATGCACACGTATAAAAATTGCAGTTTTTATCCAATGCAATCATAGGTTTGAACGTTGTTTTCAATTCAGAGTTGTTTATATATATATATATATATATAGCATTCAGAAAATTAGTTTATACAGAATAACAAACAAGCCAACCACAAAATTCTTCAAAACATTTACCAAAAAAAAAAAAAACTTATCTGTAATTAATTTCAAAATATATAATAATGAGCAGTAAATTTCAAACTATATTTATATTGACCTACAGAGCTTTTCATCAACAACACTTAGGAAACACAAAACTTTCAAATAAATCAGTCACTCCAATTATAATTTTGTTAGTTGATAATTACCACATGTTTGTTATCTTGATAAAAGGTGGAAATTATTGCATGAATAAAACACATACAATCATTGATAGACTATCTATCCATATACTTATTAATTACACCATTTCTGTTCAAAGGGAAATAACTCAAAATAAATAAATCAAATAATAAGTATCACTTTTGCTACTGAAAGGTCTACAACTCAACAACAACAGCTAAAATCGTGAAAATTGAACTTGACCTTCATTTAATCACAGGAAACACAGAAAAGATTTCGTCAAAGCGTTTTCATGTTAATGAACGGACACTGTTTGGCATCCGCCAGTCTGCCGTACATCTCCAAATCAATAACCGATTTTTCCTTCGATGTGAATTCTAAAAGTGATACACTGCTTTTAAAAATAAAATGATTAAGTCCCATGACTCCAAATGACAATCTTTAAAATTAACTAAGAGGTTCTAAAGAGCCTGTGGCGCTCACCTAGGTCTATGTGCATCTTCAACAATGGATACTCTCTATCTTTGTGGATTAGAATAGAATTCATGACAAAAATCTCTTATTTGTTGATCTAGCCTTGCTGATCATTTTGCCTATTTAAGTTTCTATCTATCTATTACCGGTATACTTTTTCAGATATTAGGCAAAAACACAAAAAAATAGTAAACATCGTCATTAAAGGGCAATAACTCCAATAAGGGGTCATCAGACGATTTCAAAAATGCTGACTTATTTGTTGAACTTATCTTGCTGATCATTTTTGCTATTAAAGTTTCTCTCTATCTATTATAGTTTTCAAGATAATAAGCAAAAATTTTAAAAGTTGGTAAAATTCGTCATTTAAGGGCAATAACTCCTATAAAAAGTCGTCTGACAGCTTAGAAGTATATAGACAATAGGTAGATCTCATCATTCCAAACATTTCTGTCCTTGTCAGATTTTCTCTTTTAATAGTGGTTTTCAAGTTAATAGACAAAAGTTGCATTTTACCCCTATGTTCTATTTTTAGCCATGTCGGCCATCTTGGTTGGCAAGCGGGGTCATCCGACACCTTTTTTAAACTAGATACCCTATTGATGATTGTGGCCAAGTTTGGTTGAATTTGGATCAGTAGCTTTAGAGAAGAAGATTTTTAACGGACGTCGACGCCAAGTGATGTGGCCCTTTCTATATCTTACTTTGCTCTGAAAGTCTGTTGAGTAGACTGCTTCTTTCCAACCTTCATCCTGCAACAAATATTCAAAATATTATTAAAATGATTTACATATCCTTTATTTAGTAGTTCAGTGGATGCTTAGTGTACTCCAGTCAAAATTAAAACTTAAAAGAAAGAATTTTCATGCAAAGTCATCATCATACAGACATTTTAAATGTTAATACTGTGCATTTGCATGACTTTGAGGTTTTCCTTACTGCCATAAGTATAAGACAAACAAGAAGTTGAGATGGATGTAAAAACATATCACACAGCAAAGCATACTCATATGAAGGTTAATATCTAATTTTAGGAAGCTCTTATTCATAGTTCCTTAGAAAAATGTGATGAAAATTTCATAATGGTCATTACATGAAAGAATATACAAGTTATCCCTATACAGGAAGTGGATGAGCGATGATTGTGAAAACACATCGCTCAGTAAAGCGTGCTCACACAAAGCTTGGTACTATATTTCCAGAAGCTCTGATTCATAGTTTCTGAGGAAAATGAGACCAAAATTTCTACATGGCAATAATGTGTAATAATATATAAGTATTTGGTACACATGAAGTTGATGAGCAATGAAATGTAAAAATGCATCACAGGGTATAACATGCTCACATGAAGCTTTCTACTAAATTTATAAGCTCTGACTTGTAGTTTCTGAGAAAAATGTAATGGAAAGTTCATAGGACCTACTGACAGATGGACAGAGGTCAACCAGTATACCCTCTCTTCAGGAAGAAGGTATTACATATGCAATACAATGTTCCATACCAAGGATCAGAATATTTATTTAAAGATGTGAACATTTTCAACTACTGTCAGTTCAACCCATCTCCCAAGAATAAGATTGTCTGTTTTTCACTGAAAACAAATATTTTCCAACAATTTTCTATGTCCAAGAGCAACAACTTACACAACTGGAATGAATCTCAAACTTAATTTGTAACTTCTTATGATAAGACTACATAAAGAATCTATTAAATCAATTGATTCATACTTTACAGAAAAGGTGTCAAAATGGCATAACCAGCTAGATGAGGTTTGGTGCCAAATATCAAGAAGAATTGACTTATAGTTGATGAGAAAATACTAAAGTAAATTTGTTACGAACAAAACAAAACAGACAAACAGATGCACAAATGAAATGACAGAGGTACATGTAAACCAGTTGTTTTCAGGTAACCCCTCCTAAGGAACTAGCTATATATATATATATAGCTTATAATAATTGAAGTTATTTACTTATCCATTTGATAGCTCCCCATGTTCAAGTATTGAGTTTACCTGTTGTAGGAATGATATAAACATTCTGTCTTGACTTAGAATTGGATGAGCTGCTAACCTTAACAGGAAAATCTGAGGATAGAAAATAAGAATATCTATATGCATCAAAGAAAATTTTAGTAAGATAAGTCATATGATACTTCAAATTTAAAAAAAAAGTTAAATATGTTTTATATACGGTACTTGAACTATAAAACAAGTGTATGTGATCTTTCTTGTAAAAAATTCCTTTATCTTATCAAAATCTTCAGAAATGTTCTGCTATAGAATTATTGTCTTCCCATACTCCAATTTGCCAATATTTGTCTGTATGCCTTAACTGCAAGACCTCTTGATAAAACTTTGGCAGCCACACAGCGCTATAAACATATAAAGATGTAAACAAACAAACACACTGGAATGTTAAAATAGTAATAGTTGATTCTTAAAGGACAAATTAAATACATCAAATCATTTAACAACTGATATATAGAAAAGTTCAATTCACAAATGGGAATGCATGGAAAATATTAAAAACAAGAGGCTGTCAGATTGACAGTAAACTGGATTTTGCTGTATGAAAATGATATTTGCAAATCTGGACCCCAAAACAGGATCAAGTAAAACAAATAAATGATTTTTTGTAGGGTTCAGAAATGGAAAGGCCATAATCAAACTACCGGTAAGTATCACTTTTCGCTACTTAAGTTCTACAACTCAACAAAGATAAAAGCTAAAATTGTAAAAATCAAACTGGACCTTCATTTAGTTACAGGAAACAACATATCTAAATTTAAAAAGATTTCGTCAAAGCGGTTTCAAGTCATTGCACGGACAACGCACTAAATATCACTTTTCGCTACTTAAAGGTCTACTACAACTTAACAACAATAAAAGCTTAAATTGTGAAAATCTAACTAGGCCTTCATTTAGTCACAAGAAACAACATATATAAATTTGAAAAGATTTCGTCAAAGTGATTTCAAGTTATTGAACAGACACGGTTTGGCAGGCTCCCGCCTGACCGCCCATCACCAAATTAATAACAAATATTTTCCTTCGGATATCCAGTTAAATATTAACATTTCTCTAGTAATTCACTTATTTTTCACATGCTTATGATTCTGTGTTGATTCAGATTGTCGATCAATGTCACCATCCAGTAACTTCCGAAACAAGCGATCCACAATTATTACTGAATGAAATATTATTTGTCAATACAAAAAAAGGTAGGTAAGTGATAAGTTATTCGAGTCTTGTTTTTGACAATAGAATTTTCAATTGTCACCTCAAAACTTTACCTATAGCTATAAACACGTGATATAATGTAAAAAATAAATGTGCATGAGTCAACTTCAACATACAGATGCAGGATTCACGTTGTTAAGACCATTTTGTGATTATAAGCATTGTGTATAAGTTTCATAACATTTGGTTGAGGCAAACTAAAGTTAGAGAACGGAAACGAAAAATTCAGCAATTTTTATGTTTATAAAGGAGCATAACTCATAAACAGTAAAAGTGACGCCACCCATTTTGGAACTTGATCTGTGTTTTGTGGTAATAAGCAATATGTATAAGTTTTAACATTTGGTTGAGGCAAACTAAAGTTAGAGAACGGAAACCAATTTTAGGGACGTACGGACGTACGGACGGACAGACGGGGACGGACAAGGGTAACACTTAATGCCCCCTCCGCTTCAGCGGGGGCATAATAAAAATCAGACCATTAAGTATATGGAGTTGAAAATCTAATCTATTAATCTCCAATATCACAGTTTTTAAAGGACCAGATCTAGATCTGTAAGTTATAAAAATCAAACCCACTCTAATTTTCAGTCCATGATACTGTAAAAAGAATTAATTAGAATGGGTATTCCCTTTTTTCTCTCCATGTTATGTCTTCCACTTTTACTATGTCTTATTTTATTTTATCACTTTAGAGAATTTACAAATAAACTGCCATTGCAGTCTATATGTTTTTTCAGCACTTTTCATTTGTCTATTTTTCTTAAAGAAAATTCTGGTCTTGTTGGAACACTTGCAGGGCCTCATCCAGGAATTTTGAGAGGGAGAAGTGACTTCTTCTTCCTTGAGAAAGTAGGAAGAAGTAGTCAACTTCTTGGAGAAGTGAAATTCCATTACCGTTTCGGTTGTGTAGTGTTTTCGTGCTTATCTATTACAATGGTATCTATGATGAGTTCACATTAGATTAAGGAAATTGATTTATATATGCAATAAAAAATATACCTGAATTGTTTTTCTATGATACTGTACATGTTGAAAACTCTTAATTAAAAAGCTCAGCTTGATATGACCGCAGAGGTTGAACCCTGATCAGTTGGAGCAAGTATTAACACTACATTCAAGCTTGATACAGTTCTGAATTTGGATTGTGATTAAATATTTGACACAGCATAGGTTTCTGACACAGAATGAATGTGGTCAAAGAACTGAAAGATTTGAAATTGGACTTTTACCTATTATTTTCCAATATCCAAAATTTAAATACACGGTTAGATTCAGCAAATTATATCCAAGAACACCAAGAATTTTATTTATTTATTTATTAATGGACAATATTAGCCAAGTTTTCAAAATGCTCCATAAAAGAATTAAGCTTAAGCTGTAATTGGTAGGAAACCTTTTATTAAATCAATTAATAATTTTTTGGTGTTTGAATATTGCTTACAAGTGGGGTACAGATGGATGTGTATGGTAGTTGAGGTTTATTTGTCAAGTTGTTCTCAAGTTGTCTGGAAACCAAATGTCTTTGGACAACGACAACGATGAGGCTGACAACGTCATAACATTATACAACCGCAACATATAACAAGAGGCTGTCAGAGTGACAGCAAACTGGATTTTCCTGCAGAGTTCCAACCCAGAACAGTTGAGCAAGTATGGACACAACATTTAAGCTTAAAACAGCTCTGAATTTGGATTGTGATTGAATATTTGATACAGCATAGGTTTGTGACACAAAATAAATGTGGTCAAAGAACTGAAAAATTTGAAATTGGACATTTACCTATTGTGGTGCGATATCCAAAATCTAAGTACATTGTTAGAATCAGCTTATCAAAGAACCCAAAAATATAAATTTTTGATAAAATACTTATTATTGCGAACCCAATGATACTTTTCCACAGATTCACCTGCAAGTTACCTGTCGATTTAAACTTTTGTAAGTTCTTTTGTCCCATCTAATACAATAGCTATTGTTCTCTTTGTATATTTGATGGGACCTTTAAATTTCTTCCAAGAGAAATCTATCACTCACTGATTAATTTACCTGAACAAAAGTTTGAACTGTCAATAATGAAAATACATGTACAAATACTATATAAGGACTATATTAATATTTTAATAGTTTCAATATAAACACTGATTCAAAAATTAAAAGTTGATTTCTGAACAAATTTTTTATATTTTCCCTATTAAAATTTGCTTTTTTTTGTGTGTTTGACAAATAAAAACTTCAAAATTATTGTGTTTAAATTAAGGTCTTGATAAATGTATTCTATAACTGAACAACAACAAAAACATGCAAATTCATTGGAACAATACTAAAAATTTTGTCAGAAATAAACTTTTTATAATTAAATCAGTGTTTATATTGAACAGATTGAAAATATATTATTGATATTGATTAAATACAATATTGCATGCAGTTTATGCGAGTTTATACAACTATTTCCCCAAAAAATGAAGATAATTTTTTGGGCAGGTAAATTTATCAATGAGTGATAGATTTCTCCTAGAAGAAATCTAAAGGTCCCAGTGAAAAAACTACACAGAGAACAATAGCTATTATATTTATTCAATAGGACAAGAGAATAGACAAAAGTTTAAATACCCTGGTCAAGAGCAGATGACTCTGTGGAAAACTTTCATTTGGTTTGCAATAATTAAAACAATTTCTGTTCAAAGGGAATTAACTCAAACTTGTTTCCATGAACCAGTAATGCAAATCTAAAATTAGATGATTTCACCATTAAAAAATTGTTCTCTAAAATTAGATATAATGTTTTCAAATTATAATCAAATATAATTAATAGTTCCCAATATTTTTTCTTTCATTTGTCACAAACTAATATCTTATCTGCAACTTATCTATCAAAGTCAACAACTTTATCTACACAATGTAATGTAATGAAATATATCCTTTAATAAAAATAGATTATTATCTAATGAAAATGATATTTGCAAATCTGAACACCCAAACAGGATCAAGTAAAAATTTAACATTAACACACACAACAAAAATAAAATACCACACAACAACTGTGACATCTACCTTCCAAACACACATGACTTAAAAAAAAATTAGTTATACATGTTTGACAACTCCTGACTAATCAATTGAACAGATACAATCATTGATAGACTATCTATACATTTCAGCTATACATAAACTTATTAATTTCTGTTCAAAGGGAAATAACTCAATCACATAATAAATAAATTTCTGGTTTCTAAAAGGGTCCAAAATTCAAGTACGAGAAAAGTCGTGAAAACTGAACTTGACCTTCTTTTAGTCACAGGAAACAACATATCAAAATTTGAAAAAATATCATCAAAGCGTTTTCATGTAAATGAATGGACACTGTTTGACAGCCGCCCACCCGCCGTACATCCCCAAATCAATAAACGATTTTTTCCTTCGAAAATCTGGTTAAAAACTGGAAACTTATTCATCCAGAATTCAGGCTGTGTCTGAGAAGTATGCTGCTGTGAAAGGCATAACACAAAACCTGCATATGAGTTCATACCTCAAGTGCAGCTCGTCGTCTTTCAACAAATTCTGGATCAAATTTATCTGTTGGTGCTCCTTGCCAAAGGTATGATGGCTGTAAAAGAAATCAAAACACTGTTAGTTTCATCATCAAATCTTGTAAGCAGTCCTTAATCTTGAAAGTATCAATACTTGTTACACTTAAGAAGAAGATGATTCAGTTAAATATCACTCATGGTTGCAACTTGAATTGAATGCTGGTGAGTGGGTAATTCCATGTGAAATCTCTATATGTAACTCCCCAAATTATGGTGACTTTGCTAGCGCTCGTCATTTTCGTCATTTACGAAACGGATTTCAAAATGACGAAAGTATTTCAAAAGAATTTCGTCACTTAAATTGGAAAGTGTAAAAATATTTTTGCATGAAAATACTTTAAATTCTACCTGTCTTCATGTTTCTGACAGGTTTATGACCCTCAGCTATTTAACGTTCACAACAGGTGTTAGAAAGTTATGATTACAGGTACTCCACTTACCGCCATCAGATCATACAGATGGGTCACTAATCCGTTAATTATTAATAAACCTCATAATTGACCAATACAATTATTTTCCCAAGTAAAATCAGTCAGTCGTCATTTCAATTTCAATATTTCTCAAACGATCACAATTTGCAGTTCATTTGTCGTAGTTTCATCGTATGAACGTATTTTCGTCATATTTGATATAACTTTTCATTAAAAACTTACAACAATTTCGATTAAAAAGATACAACTTTATTGAAAACGTTCAGAAATATTTTCATGAGTCAAACAGGTGCTTTCTTTACTATGTACTGCACATGTGTGAAAGTATTCTTATAAGTTTATTTATAGACACTAAAACACAGGCACTACTATCCAGTTAGTAAACCCACAATTAACAGAAACAAGTGCCTGTGCACTTAAACGTAAAATACGAAATCATTCAGTATCAAATGAAACGAGAGAGACAAATACATTTCTTACTTAGCAACTTAATTAGAACTAGAGGCTCTAAAGAGCCTGTGTCGCTCACCTTGGTCTATGTGCATATTCAACAAATGACACTTATCTATTATAATTTTTAAGATATAAGGCAAAAACACAAAAAATTGGTAAAAATCGTCTTCAAAGGGCAATAACTCTAATAAGGAGTCGACTTACGATTTCGACTATGCAGAATTTTTTCTGAACTTGTCTTGCTGATCATTTTTGTAATTATAAGTTTCTCTCTATCTACATGATCTATTATAGGTATCAAGATAATACGCAAAAATTAAAAAAAAAGCTAAAATTTGTCATTTAAGGGCAATAACTCCTGTAAGAAGTCGTCTGACAATTTTGACGTATATGAACAATTGGTAGTGCTCAACATTCTGAAAATTTCTGCTCCTGTCAGATTTTCTCTCTTTATAACAGTTTTCAAAACAATAGACAATACTTGCATTTTACCCCTATGATCTATTTTTAGCCATGTCAGCCAACTTGGTTGGCATGCTGGGTCATCGGACACATTTTTCAAACCAGATACCCTAATGATGATTGTCTCTAAGTTTGGTTAAATTTGGCCCAGAAGTTTCAGAGGAGAAGATTTTTGTAAAAGTTAACAGACGACGATGGACGCCAAGTGATGAGAAAAGCTCACTTGGCCCTGTGGGCCAGGCGAGCTAAAAACTAGCCCTGTACACAAAATTGAGTCTGTGAAAATGTTTGAAAAAGACCCTGATCCAGGAAATTTTTTACTAAATGCTAAATGAGTAACTAAATCCATGAAACCCCAATCAGGTAAAGGGAATTTCCATCCATTTTTTTCAATAGACCACTTTCGAGTTATGTCCTTCACCAGAAAAGTTCTTCAATTATGAGCGCCTTTATGACGTCATTTACCAGATAGAGGGGATAGCCTGTATCCCTGCAGGGATAACCTGTATCCCTGCACTATTAAAGTTCATCAAACATCTTCGTGATAGTCATTATGCAGGATAAACTAGAAATACTGTTTGTTCCGTAGACCAGTGTACTTCATTACAATTCCCTAATGACAGCAGTGCTGCTTATCAATTATAAGAATTTTATTTTGCCGAATGATTCGTACAATATAGCATCATATTTTTTCAACATGGGAAGGAAGTGATGTTGCCCCTAAATGCACAAATGATGTTCACTAAAACCAAAGTTTTTGACGGAAATGTAACGAACTCGAAAGTGGCCTATTGAAATAAATTATGTTGTTTTATATTATAAAGTACACGTATTGAATAAAGTTGTAAAATGGAACTGACAAAGTGACATTATCCCACAATTTCCACAAAAATTTTTGATGCAATTCAGTAGCATTCAGAATAAATTACAATGTCACTCTGTTCTCTAACATTCATATTATCACTTTATTATCATGATTATGAAACAGTCAATAAAATATACACAAAAATTTGATCATCAGTCAAAACAATGAATGAACCTGATACCTTTTTCTCAGGAAGCGGAGGGATGACCAGTGCAGGATAGGTACATTCCAAGTAGTTCCTTAACAACTCAAACTCATTATATCTTCTCCATAATGATGTTGTTCCATCACCTTTACATGCCAAACTGTTGTCTGTAATTCTAATGAAAATAAGTGCAATTCGTATAAAGTAAGATACAAAGAATTTTTCATAAGAAATGTAACAAGAGTGCACATGTTGAAATGTCTCATTATCAATGTTCTATGAAAATGAGGTCTGATGTACATTTTACAATCATTCCATACACCAAATATAGTGGTCCTATCACTAATAGTACCTGAGAAACAGTAAAAACCACAAAATCTTTTTTTTTTAACAACAAAAATATATTCCTTATTCTTCAGATTGCCTGTTACAATTATACTTCACTGTCCAAGCACCATTGGAGTATTCCTGTGAAATACTTTCTGAGTGGCCAGGAATTTAAAAAAAAAAAAAAACATTATGTGAACTATGACAATATATTTATTATTCTATTATATTAATTTCTTTAAATTTATGATAAATATGTTTTGAGAGATTGTTTTGCTTTCATTCATAACTATTCACGATTTTTTTATAAACAATTCATACACATCTAAGAATTTTTATTTTTGCTCTGAAACATAGTATGACTTGTAAATGCAAAAACTTAAAACTGTAAAAAAATAGTTAAAACCATAATATCCCTGATCTGATATTTTCTATCCAAATACTATATATGTTTTACTGATATCTTGTTGTTAAAATTGAGTTTTGTTAGAAGATGTTTCACTTTCGCCCAAAAATCTTTTAACTAGAGGCTCTCAAGAGCCTGTGTCGCTCACCTGTATCTACTGTGGTTTTGGAAATCATGTAAAATAAGGTTAAAATAATAATAAATAGTATTAGATACCCTAATAACGATTAAGGCCAAGTTTGGTTTAATTTGGCCCAGTAGTTCAAATAAAAGCAGAAGATTTTTCACGGGTCAACTGACAATTTTGGTCATGTTGACTTATTTGTAGATCTTACTTTGCTGAACATTAGATTCGTCTGAAAATTTCAGGGCAGATAGATCTTAACCTGATGAACATTTTTACCCCATGTCAGATTTGCTCTAAATGCTTTAGTTTCAGAGATTTAAGCCAAAAACTGCATTTTACCCCTATGTTCTTTTTTTAGCCATGTTGGCCATGTTGGTTGGCAGGTGGGGTCATCGGACACACATTTTAAAGTAGATACCCTAATGATGATTGTGGCCAAGTTTGGTTAAATTTGTCTCAGTAGTTTCAGATGGAGAAGATTTTCGTAAACAATTACAAAAATTAAGGAAAAATTGTTAAAAATTGACTATAAAGAGCAATAACTCCTTAAGAGGTCCATTGACAATTTTGGTCATTTGACTTATTTATAGACCTTACTTTGCTGAATATTATTGCTGTTTACCGAGTATCACTATCTATAATAATATTCAAGATAATAACCAATAAAATGCTTCGCCAAGCACAGCCTGATACGACCGCAGAGATCGAACCCTGAACAGTTGGGGCAAGTTTGGACACAATATTCAACCTTGATACTGTCTGAATTTGGATTGTGATCAAATTTTTGACATAATATAGGTTTCTGACACAAAATAAATGTGGTCAAAGACCTTAAAAATTTGAAATGGGACATTTAATTTACCTAGTATGGTCTGATATCCAAAATCTAACAAGAGTGGACACGCTGAAATGTCTCGCCTTCTTTACTAACCATTGATTGATATTATGTTGATAGTCCTAAATGAAAGCTTTACTACAACTATTACATAAACTTAACATGATCCAAGAAGTCAAGGTCATATAAACCAAACGAGAAATACATGTACACCTTACAATCATTCAATACACTAAATATAGTTGACCTATTGCTTATAGTTTCTAAGAAACAGACTTTACCAAGAAAACTAAACATTGACGGTGACCAATGAATCGTGAAAATGAGGTCAAAGTCAGATGAACGATGCCAGGCAGACATGAACAGCTTACAATCCTTCCATACAACAAATATAGCTGACCTATTGCTTATAGTTTAAGAAAAACAGACTGAAACACATAAACTTAACACTGAGCAATGAACCGTGAAAATGAGGTCAAGGTCAAATAAAACCTGCGAGACTGACATGTACATCATAAAATATTTCCATACACCAAATATAGTTGACTTATTGCATATAGTATAAGAAAAAAGACCAAAACTCAAAAACTTAACTTTGACCACTGAAGCATGAAAATGAGGTCAAAGTCAGATGACACCTGCCAGTTGGACATGTACACCTTACAATCATTCCATACACCAAATATAGTAGACCTATTGCATAAAGTATAAGAAAAACGGACCAAAACACAAAAACTTAACTATAACCACTGAACCATGAAAATGAGGTCAAGGTCAGATGACACCTGCCAGCTAAACATGTACACCTTACAATCATTCCATACACCAAATATAGTAGACCTATTGCATACAGTATAAGAAAAACAGACCAAAACACAAAAACTTAACTATAACCACTGAACCATGAAAATGAGGTCAAGGTCAGATGACACCTGCCAGTTGGACATGTACACCTTACAGTCCTTCCATACACCGAATATACTAGACCTATTGCTTATAGTATCTGAGATATGGACTTGACCACCAAAACTTAACCTTGTTCACTGATCCATGAAATGAGGTCGAGGTCAAGTGAAAACTGTCTGACAGGCATGAAGACCTTGCAAGGTACGCACATACTAAATATAGTTATCCTATTACTTATAATAAGAGAGAATTTAACATTACTAAAAATCTGAACTTTTTTTTCAAGTAGTCACTGAACCATGAAAATGAGGTCAAGGACATTGGACATGTGACTGACGGAAACTTCGTAACATGAGGCATCCATATACAAAGTATGAAGCATCCAGGTCTTCCACCTTCTAAAATATAAAGCTTTTAAGAAGTTAGCTAACGCCGCCGCCGCCGAATCACTATCCCTATGTCGAGCTTTCTGCGACAAAAGTCGCAAGCTAGACAACAACATGGTTATATTCAGCACGTAAAAAACCACCCAAATTTAATTTTAGTTGAAATCAAACACAGTTTAATTTTGGACCCTTCAAACCTTAATATGGACCAATTTTTTATGGTAATATTCTTTACAAAGCACAAAAATGTCAGTATTCACCTCAAAAGCTACCGGTAACAAAACCTTGAAACGGACTTATTAAGAAGGGATATAGTTACGATACTGTTGTCAGGTCATTAAAGATTGCATATTTTGGCTTTAATATTGATTCACTTATAGGGTCTTTGCATCGGAATTAAACATATTTATTCTAAAACCAGTTGATGGCATGACACAGGTTGTGTTCTTCTCATATATTTTATGACGGTATAATACTAAACCCCTAACAGGAGGGATTGTGCCTGATAATCATATGATGATTACATAATCTTTCAATCAGTTTAATTGAGGTCTGGAGCTGGCATGTCAGTAACTGCTAGTAGTCTGTTGTTATTTATGTATTATTGTCATTTTGTTTATTTTCTTTTGTTTCCTATTCTGACATCGGACTCGGACTTCTCTTAAACTGAGTTTTACTGTGCCTACTGTTGTACGTTTGTTTTTTCTACATTGGCTAGAGGTATAGGGGGAGGGTTGAGATCTCAAAAAACATGTTTAACCCCGCCGCATTTTTGCGCCTGTCCCAAGTCAGGAGCCTCTGGCCTTTGTTAGTCTTGTATCATTTTTAATTTAAGTTTCTTGTGTATAATTTGGAGTTTAGTATGAAGTCCATTATCACTGAACTAGTATATATATTTGTTTAGGGGCCAGCTGAAGGACGCCTCCGGGTGCGGGAGTTTCTTGCTGCATTGAAGACCATTGGTGGCCTTCAGCCATTGTCTGCTCTATGGTCGGGTTGTTGTCTCTTTGACACATTCCACATTTCCATTCTCAATTTAAATGTGAAAACAGGGCCCAATATAAAAAATCTAAATGCACAGTAAGATTCAGCATATCATAGAGCCGTTATAATTCAGTTTTTGATGAAATCAAACTAGTTTAATTTTGGACCCTTTGGACCTCAATGTAGACCAATTTAAAAATGGGGCCCAATATCCAAAATAGTAATACAAGGTTAGAACCCCTTGGGGAGATCCCGGCAGGTGTAGAGCAATATAGAATAAAAAGAAAAAACGACCTGGGTAGATCCCAGCAGGCCTAAGAGAATCCGGGGAGATCCCAGCAGAGTAAAAATTAATAATTACCTGGGGAGATCCCGGCAGGTGTAAAGCAATATAGAATAAAAAGAATAAATGACCTGGGGAGATCCCATCAGGCCTATGAGACTCCGGGGAGATCCCAGCGGAGTAAACAAAACTTTCACCTGGGGAGATCCCGGCAGGTGTAGTGCAATAGAGAATAAAGAGAACAAAAGACCTGGGGAGATCCCAGCAGGCCTAAGAGACTACAGGGAGATCCCAGCGGAGTATACAAAAACTTTTACTTGGGGAGATCCCGGCAGGAGTAGTGCAATATATAGTAAAGAGAATAGATTACCTGGGGAGATCCCAGCAGGCCTAAGAGACTCCGGGGAGATCCCAGCGGAGTACACAAAACTTTCATCTGGGGAGATCCCCGCAGGTGTTGTGCAATATAATAAAGAGAATAAACGACCTGAGGAGCTCCCAGCAGGCCTACGAGACTCTGGGGAGATCCCAGCGGAGTTAAATATAATACATATAAATACATAATTATTACTTATACTGTATGAAATGTTCACCTGGGGAGATCCCGGCAGGTGTAGAGCAATATAGAATAAAGAGAATAAACGACCTGGGGAGAACCCAGCAGGCCTAAGAGACTCCCGGGAGATCCCAGCGGAATAAAAAGAATTAATTTAAATACATACTTATTACTTATCTTGTATTAAATTTCACCTGGGGTGATCCCGGTAGGTGTAGAGCAATATAGAATAAACCTGGGTAGAACTAAGCAGGCCTAAGAGACACCGGGGAGATCCCAGTGGAGTAAACAAAACTTTCACCTGGGGAGATCCTGGCAGGTGTAGTGCAATAGAGAATAAAGAGAACAAAAGACCGGGGGAGATCCCAGCAGGCCTAAGAGACTACAAGGAGATCCCAGCGGAGTATACAAAAACTTTTACTTGGGGAGATCCCGGCAGGTGTAGTGCAATATATAATAAAGAGAATAGATTACCTGGGGAGATCCCAGCGGAGTAAATATAATACTGCGGATTCATTTAATTTCGTGGGTACCAATTTTCGTGGATTGAGGAAAACTTGCATTTTCGTGGATATTTAATTTCGTGGTTTTTGCAAAGTCTGCATACATTCCTTTAGAAAATTTGTAATACGTTGAGCATTTAAATTTGTGGTTCCCCTGTACCAACGAAATCCACGAAAATTGGTATCCAACGAATATTAATGAATCCACAGTACCTTAAAATACATAATTATTACTTATACTCATGCAATGTTCACTTGGGGAGATCCCGGCAGGTGTAAAGATTGCAGCAGTAATGAACCAATCTGAAGTATTATTGAATTGGGGGAGTATGATTCCTTGAATTAAAAAGGTAGAGTTTTCACCAATAAAAGATATTCATTTGCATATCCTTTTAAAAGTAGTGCAGACGTATATATGTATATCCCATTTGTGTCCTCGAATCTCCGTGCTGTTCTTCACTCCCTGCTGCAGTAGTATGGTAAACCCCAATTGTGTATGGTCTAAGAGTTGCCGAAGGTGGTGTTGACTGATACCCTGTTGAATGTGGAATCGTCGAGACACTGGACTAGTGTTGATCGTGTTTGGAAGGACTTGCTGACTTAAACCAACGATGCCGTAGAAGATTATGACTACGATTAAAAGTTGTTACTATTATAAGAAATTTTAAGATTGTCAGTAACTTTATTGTTCAAAGAAATCATGTTCTGTTGAAAGTTATAGATATACCACGATAGCTTTAACACCAAGTTAACGCGAACAACAATCCGATCCTGATTAATGTTTGCATTGATGCATCTTGGGATAGCGCACTCATATTCAAATCAGTGGGCGTGTCTAGTGAATTGTACATGCTGTCATGGCTGATCTCAAAGATATCGGCCCTGGAATTCCAATAATACGAAATAGAGCCATCCTACGAGGATCTACGGGTGTTAATGGGAAACGAATGTTATTTCTACTTAGCTCAGACTTAGAGCAGAGTCTTGTCAAAGCCCATTTCTCCAAATTACGGATCATACGGAGTTCATTTAGGACGCACATCGACACATGAATAAAAGAGCTGACACAGTCTTCACAATCAAAGAATAAATGTCCATTAACGTTAAAAGATTAAATAAATTCATATGAAATGTTGTAGATTAACAATATGTGTAGATTATTAAGTTCGATTTCAGGGAAATAATAGCTGATTAAAAAACATATCATACATGTAACATATGATATACACGTGTAGGTAAGTTTGTAAATCTGATAACCAGGTCATCAAAACACATACCCCCTCTAAGGTTGTAGTCTTGTAATTGACTGCTCCATAAGCTTGCATGCAAAACAGCTGATCTTTGAAATTTTTTTTAAATAAAATGCTACATAGAAATTTTTTTTCATGTGCATATCATGTATGCAGTAATGTGAACTTTTGATTTAAACGAAAAATAAATGTGGATAGTGTCCACATGTGGACACAGATGATGCCCCCGCTTGCATATCATATAGATATAAAGGGACATAACTGAAGAACGGTAAAAGTGACGCTACCCAAATTTGAACTTGATCTGAGTTTTGTGGTAATAAGCATTGTGTGTAAGTCTCATAACATTTGGTTGAGGCTAACTTAAGTAGAGAACAGAAACTAAAAGTTCAGCAATTTTTCTATTTGTAAACACGCATTACTCTAGAATGATTGTGTATAAGTTTTATAACATTTGGTTGAGACAAACTAAAGTTAGAGAACGGAAACGAAAAATTCAGCAATTTTTATGTTTAAAGAGGGACATAACTCAAGAATGGTAAAAGTATCGCCACCAAATTTCGTACTTAATCGTATTATGTAGTAATAAGCATTGTGTTTAAGTTTCATAACATTTGGTTGAGGCAAACTAAAGTTAGAAAACAGAAACAAAAAATTTGTACTTGATCTTAGTTTTGTGGTAATGAATATTGTGTATAGGTTTCATAACGTTTGGATTGGGCAAACTTAAGTTACCGAATGGAAACTAAAAATTTTGCAATCTTTCGATTTATAAAGGGGCATAACTCAATAATGGTTAAAGTGACACTACCCAAATTCAACTTGATCTGTGTTTTATCAGTGGAAGTCAAAATTAAACATTGCATTGTATAAAGCATTGATTGTAGTTGATTCAACTATAATCATGGACAAAGGAAGATAACTCAAATTTTAAAAATTACTTGATATTAAGAAGAAAATAAAATTTTGCAATTTTTCCATTTATAAAGGGGCATAACTCTAGATCTGTTAAAGTGACACCACCAAAATTCAAACTTGATCTGTGTTTTGTGGTAATAAGCATTGTGTATAAGTTTCATAACATTTGGTTGAGGCAAACTTAAGTTAGAGAACGGAAACTAAATATTTTGCAATTTTTTCCATTTATAAAGGGGCATAACTCAAGAACTGTTTAAGTGACGCCACCAAAATTTAAATTTGATCTGTGTTTTGTGGTAATAAGCATTGTGTATAAGTTTCATAACATTTGGTTGAGGCAAACTCAAGTTAGAGAACGGAAACCAATTTTGGGACGTACGGACGGACGGATGTACATACAGACGGACAAGGGTAAAACTTAATGCCCCCACCGCTACGGCGGGGGCATAAAATGTGGGTCATGCCACAAAGAATAAAAAGTTATGTAACCCTGAAGTCAAAACTATTTTTTTCTACTTCCTGTTTGCTGTTTTTACTAGGCCACACCACTTCCAGTAAACATGATATCCTTCCACTTTCCTGGTTTGATATCCCCAAAAAGATGCAAGATTTTTTTTAAATCTAAATCTATGTTTCAACTCAGCATAAACTTTTAATCAAATAGAAAAAATTGAGTCCAGAAAAAAATGGACTATTTTATTTCACGCCATGTTTTGACATGCACCAGAAACTGGAGTTGTAATACAAGACTGGTACCTATAACTATAATGACATGTCTTAAAAAAATAAATCATTTATTTTGTTTCATTAAGTAGCCATATTTGAACATAAAGAATGCCATTAAAAGAACTGTTTAGTTGTATTATTAAAAATTATCCCATTATTAAAGGAGTACCCTTTTCTGAAACAAGGCAAAATTTGGAAATAAGTCATGCCTATCAAATGATCTGTAAATCTCATTCTAGTTTATCTTTATGAATGTTAACTAATCATTTGGATACTGTGAAGCTAGAAGAGAATTGTTATTTATTATTTTAATTTTTTTCCTTCCCTTTGATCGAACCACATTCAATATTTTACCCCACCCCGGTTTTCCATGAAATCTATCCAAGTGGGCCTCTTGTTCAAATTGAAAAACTACCCCATAACTTTTTCATATTGAAGAATTTGTTGCAATACAACTATCTAAAGACAAGAAAGACTATACCTTTCTCTTTTTTGACAATACATGTCTTTATACATGCCTACTATATGATGGTTTTTGGGCTGTACTTCACACCCCTATATGCATATAAAATTTGCAATAAAATCCTAGAATAAACAAAATGAATATTCAAGTTGGTGTTTTTGATAAGAATATTGATTACTTGTCACACCTAAGCACAAAAATCTTAGTCATCATGGATAGTATAAGAAAAATTCTACTTTTTAAACAAATTTTTAACCCAAATATGGAAATTTCAATTGACCATGCAGTGCCGCAGACAGGAAAAGAAGTCATAGACTCTTGTAAAGTGAACATTTTGTGAAAATCTTTTCACCAAAAGTTCATTTTATATATATTCTACCTAAATGTCAACAATTGAGCCATAAAAATAATAATAACCCTGAAGAAAATAAAATGCTTCGCTGAGCACAGCCTGATATGACCGCAGTGGTCGCACCCTGCACAGTTGGGGCAAATTCTGACACAATATTCAAGCTTAATACTATCTGAATTTGGATTGTGATCAAATTTTGGACATAATATAGGTTTCTTACACAAAATAAATGTGGTCAAAGATCTAACAAGTCTAATGCACAATACTGTGCAATTGAAGATTTCTTCTTGAAACTTTTCAAAAATTTGAAATTTTGAAAATTTTGAAAAAAAAATATAAACCCTTTTAAAAAAAATTGGAAACCCCCCCCTTTCCCCCCAAACTTTTTAAATTCCCCTTTTAGCATTTACCATCAAACTCAATTACAGTCTTTCCTTTGTAGTATGGAACCTTGTAGTACAATTTCAGAGAGATCCATACACTTAATCACAAGTTACTGTCTGGAAACTAGAATAAAATGCTCCGCTGGGCGCAGCTTGATACGACCGCAGAGGTCGAACCCTGAACAGTTGGGGCAAGTATGGACACAACATTCAAGCTTGATACAGCACTGAATTTGAATTGTGATTAAATATTTGACACAGCATAGGTTTCTGACACAGAATGAATGTGGTTTAAGAACTTAAAAATTTTGAATTTACCTATTGAAACCATATCATTATTATTTGCTTTTATATATAAATCAGAAATAACCAATTTAAAATGGAAAATTTTAAAGAAAAAAAAAGGAAAAAAAGGGAAAAAAAAAACCTCCCCCAAATTTTTTGAACCCTCTTATGATTCATCACCCCCAAAATCAATCCCAGCTTTCCCTTTGTGGTATGGTACCTTGCAGTACAATTTCAGAGAGATCCATACACTTGAACACAAGTTATTGTCTGGAAACTAACAAAATGCTTATTTTTGGCCCCTTTTTGGCCCCAAATTCCTAAACGTTTTGGGAAATGACCCCCAAACTCAATTCCAGCTTTCCCTTTGTGATATGGAACCTTGCAGTACAATTTCAGAGAGATCCATACACTTACACACAAGTTATTGTCCTGAAACTAGAAAAATGCTTGTTTTTGTCCCTTTTTGGCCCCAAATTCCTAAAATATTGAGGCAATTACCCCCAAAATCATCCCAGCCTTCCCATGGTGGTATGGTACCTTGCAGTACAATTTCAGAGAGATCCATACACTTGAACACAAGTTATTGTCTGGAAACTAGAAAAATGCTTGTTTTTAGGCTCCTTTTTGGTCCCAAATTCCTAAACGTTTAGGGCAATTACCGCCAAACTCAAACCCAGCTTTCCCTATGTGATATGGAACCTTGTAGTACAATTTCATAAAGATCCATACACTTACACACAAGTTATTGTCCTGAAACTAGAAAAATGCTTGTTTTTTGCCCCTTTTTGGTCCCTAATTCCTAAAATTTTGAGGAAATTACCCCCAAAATCAATCCCAGCTTTCCCTTTGTGGTATGGTTCCTTGCAGTACAATTTCACAGAGATCCATACACTTGAACACAAGTTATTGTCTGGAAACTAGAAAAATGCTTATTTTTGGCCCCTTTTTGGCCCCAAATTCCTAAATGTTTTGGACAATTACCCCCAAACTCAATACCAGCTTTCTCTTTGTGATATGGAACCTTGTAGTACAATTTCAGAAAGATCCATACACTTACACACAAGTTATTGTCTTGAAACTAGAAAAATGCTTGTTTTTGCCCCTTTTTGGGCCCTAATTCCAAAAATATTGAGGCAATTACCCCCAACATCAATCCCAGCCTTCCGTTTGTGGTATGGTACCTTGCAGTACAATTTCAGAGAGATCCATACACTTGAACACAAGTAATTGTCTGGAAACTAGAAAAATGCTTATTTTTGGCCCCTTTTTGGCCCCTTATTCCTAAACGTTTAGGGCAATTACCCCCAAACTCAATTCCAGCTTTCCCTTTGTGATATGGAACCTTGTAGTACAATTTCAGAGAGATCCATACACTTACACACAAGTTATTGTCATGAAACTAGAAAAATGCTTGTTTTTTGCCCCTTTTTTTGCCCCTAATTACTAAAATTTGAGGCAATTACCCCCAAAATCAATCCCAGCCTTCCCTTTGTGATATGGAACCTTGTGGTACAATGTCAGAGAGATCCATACTCTAACACACAAGTTATGTCTGGAAGTTACAAAAATGCTTATTTTTGGCCTCTTTTTGGCCCCTAATTCCTTAACTGTTGGTACCATAACCCCCAAAATCAATCCCAACCTTCCTTTTGTGGTATTAAACCTTATGGTAAAATTTCATAGAGATCCATTCACTTAAACTAAAGTTAAGAGTGCGAAAACCAATGTGTCTTGTGTAAGGGAGGTAATTTGACAATATGTGTTTGAATTGCTTCCCTTACACTGCTTTAAAATTATGTTTTGTACTTAAGTAATTGTCCATTAACCTGGAAACCCTTGTTTTTCCCACTTTTTTGCCCCTATTCCTAAACAGTTTGAGCCATAACCCCCCAAAGCAAATTCTTACCATCCCTTTGTGATATGGTAACTTGTGGTATAATTTCAGAGAGATCCATGCACCATTTCACAAGTTATTGTCTGGAAACTAGAAAAATTCTTATTTGGGCCCCATTTTGGCCCCTAATTCCTGAACTATAAGGACCGTAACCCCTAAAATCAATCCCAACCTTCCTTTTGTGGTCATAAACCTTATGGTAAAATTTCATAGAAATCCATACACTTAAATAAAAGTTCTTGTCCGGAAACCAATGTGTCTTCAGACAACGACGATGACGACAACGACATGATACCAATATACGACCGCTAAATTTTTGCGGTCATATAAAGATTACTTTTGTATCAAGCTGTCTATTCAACTTTACACTGATTTTCAATGAAACTGCTCAACTAGAATTTTCATCACAAGAAGAAGTTTTCATGGAGGAAAAATCTTTCTATGTTCTTTTTAATTGAAAATCATATATGTAATACTACCAGAATCTCAATTTACCTCAAACTGTTGTGCTTTATATCTTTTTATACTTTTGTATGGTGTCTTGTATAAAAAAATCATAATTATTACATAATTTCAGTTTTTTTCAGTGTAACTTGATACCCCATGATTTTTATTTCTTAAAAAGTACTTAAATCATGATGTTTTGTCATTCTGGACACTTAAGTCCACATGAGCTACTTCCTTGCAGTGAACATAGGAAAAAATTCCCCTATGCAGGTTGCAGTCTTGTAATTGACTGCTCCATAGGCATGATAGGCTTACATGCAAAACAGCTGATCTTTGAAAAAAAATTTAAAATAAAATGCTACATAGAAATTTTTTTTCATGTGCATATCATGTATGTAGTAATGTGAAATTGTGATTTAATCGAAAAAAAAGTGGGTCATGCCCCGAAGAATAAAAAGTTATGTAACCCTGAAGTCAAAACTATTTTTTTCTACTTTCTGTTTGCTGTTTTTACTAGGCCGCACCACTTCCAGTAAATATGATATCCTTCCACTTTCCTGGTTTGATATCCCCAAAAAGATGCAAGATTTTTTTTAAATCTAAATATATGTTTCAACTCAGCATAAACTTTTAATCAAACAGAAAAAATTGAGTCCAGAAAAAAATTCAGAAAAAAATGGACTATTTTATTTCACGCCATGTTTTGACATGCACCAGAAACTGGAGTTGTAATACAAGACTGGTACCGGAGTAAACAATAATAGAATCTAATAAAATGCTCTGCTGGGCGCAGCTTGATACGACCCCAGAAGTCGAACCCTGAACAGTTGGGGCAAGTATGGACACAACATTCAAGCTTGATACAGCCCTGAATTTGGATTGTGATTAAATATTTGACACAGCATAGGTTTCTGACACAGAATGAATGTGGTCTAAGAACTTAAAAAATTTTAATTTACCTATTATGGTTCAATATCCAAAATCTAAATACATTGTTAGATTCAGCATATCAAAGAATCCAAAGAATTCAATTTTTGATTAAATCAAACAAAGTTTAATTTTGGACCCTTTTGACCTCAATGTGGACCAATTTGATAACGGGGCCCAAAAATCAAAATGCATGGTTAGATTCAGCATATCAAAGAACCCCATATATTCAATTTTTGTTGAAATCTGAAACAAAGCTTAATTTTGGACCCCAACTTGGACCAACTTGAAAACTGGGCCCATAATCAAAAATCTAAACACATGTTTAGATTCAGCATATCAAAGAACCCCAAGAATTCAATTTTTGTTAAAATCAAACTAAGTTTAATTTTGGACCCTTTGGACCTTAATGTAGACCAATTTAAAAAACAGGACCCAAAATTAAAAATCTAAATTCACGGTTAGATTTGGCATATCAAAGAACCCCAATAATTCAATTTTTGATGAAATCAAACAAAGTTTAATTTTGGACCCTTTTGACCTCAATACGAACCAATTTGATAGCGGGGACCACAAATAAAAAATCTAAATACATGGTTAGATTCAGCATATCAAAGAACCCCATATATTCAATTTTTGCTGAAATCAAACAAAGTTTAATTTTGGACCCCAACTTGGACCAACTTGAAAACTGGGCCCATAATCAAAAATCTAAACACATGTTTAGATTCAGCATATCAAAGAACCCCAAGAATTCAATTTTTGTTAAAATCAAACTAAGTTTAATTTTGGACCCTTTGGACCTTAATGTAGACCAATTTAAAAAACAGGACCCAAAATTAAAAATCTAAATACACGGTTAGATTTGGCATATCAAAGAACCCCAATAATTCAATTTTTGATGAAATTTTGGACCCTTTTGACCTCAAAATGAACCAATTTGATAGTGGGGCCCACAAATAAAAAATCTAAATACATGGTTAGATTCAGCATATCAAAGAACTCCATATATTCAATTTTTGTTGAAATCAAACAAAGTTTAATTTTGGACCCCAATTTGGACCAACTTGAAAACTGGGCCCAAAATCAAAAATCTAAATATATTTTAGATGCAGCTTATCAAAGAACCCCATATATTCAATTTTTCTTAAAATCAAACTAAGTTTAATTTTGGACACTTTGGACCTTAATGTAGACCAATTTGAAAACTGGACCCAAAATTAAAAATCTAAATACACGGTTAGATTCGGCATAACAAAAAAATAAATGTGGTCAAAGATTTTACAAATCTAATGCGCCATACTGTGCAATTAAAGATTACTTCTTGATATCTTTTAATATTTGAAATTTGAAGAAAAAAATAATATTTGAAGAATAATTCTTTTTAATTTCTGAAATCTGAAATGAGAAAAAATTGACCCCCCACAATTTCTTTTTACCCCCCTCCCCCCTTTTTTCCCCCAAAAAATTCTTTCCCTCAAGATATGGTCATAATCTCAATTCAAATTTCCAATGAATTTTGCAACCAAAAATACCCATTTAAATTTACCATTGGGCTAACTTAATCTATTTTATAATAGAATTTGAAATATGGTGTCAAATCTTTCATATGGATTTTTTTGTAAAAAAAAAAAGATGCAACATTTGCAGATATTTTTACTGGTCTTCCTTTATAAACATGCATTTCTTTAAACATAATTTAAAAGCAGTGTAAGGGAAGTAATCAAAACGTTGTATATGGATTACCTCCCTTACACTGCTTTAAAATTGTCTTAATTGTTCATTAACCATTACTTTATACATAATTTAAAAGCAGTGTAAGGGAGGTAATTCAAATGATGTATTTGATTTATCTCCCTTACACTGCTTTAAATTATGTTTTGTACTAAAGTATTTGTCCATTATCCAGGACTAACTTGTTTTTCCCCCTTTTTTGCCCCTAATTCCTAAACGGTTTGAGCCATAACCCCCCAAAGCAAATCCTAACCATCCCTTTGTGGTATGGAAACTTGTGGTCTAATTTCAGAGAGATCCATACACCGTTCCACAAGTTATTGTCTGGAAACTAGAAAATGCTTATTTTTGGCCCCTAATTCCTTAACTGTTGGTTCCACAACCCCCAAAATCAATCCCAACCTTCCTTTTGTGGTATTTAACCTTATGGTAAAATTTCATAGAGATCCATTCACTTAAACTAAAGTTATAGTGCGAAAACCAATGTGTCTTCGGACGGCGACGACGACGGTCGTATAAAAATAGATTGACGGAGGCTTCTTAACTCTTAGATAGAAGATACATTGTGTCGTGTATAAACTATAATTTAATAAATCAAATTTCCTTAAATGTCTCAATGATGATGACAACTTCTTTCAAATGAACATTTTCGATGTATAAAAGGCACATAATTATGGAAATAAGTCTTGATTGTAATAATTAAAGTAATGAAGCTTCTATAAAACACAATGAAATTTATATAATCGTTATCCAATTCAACAAAAATTTTAAAATGGCCCAGATGAAATGTTTCCATTTCTAATATCATGATATATTTAGGGTTAACAAAAATATTTTTGAAAGTTGTAATTTATATGAGGCCAGTTCACGAGCTGAAATAAAATTTGATTCCAGATTTGATTTTGGATTTTTTTATTATAATTTTCTTTATTAAACAAGTTAAAGACAATACAATATTTTGGAAGTATCTATCCTTCATAATTACTAAAAATTAAAATTTATTCAAGCAGGTACAGATTGATTTACGACTTTCAGGTATTGCACAGGTAATATCACAGCAGGTATTAATTATACTCTGATAACTGTCTGACTAGTCCCACATCTTAATGTTTGCATAAAGAAATCTATAGGAATGAGTAATACATGTATGACTTTACTTATACTGTAAACTTACATTTTCAACAAATATAAACTAACTATGACTACTGTTTCTTAAACCTTTGGAATAACTGATCTTACCTTGTCTCAATAAGATAAACATAAAATGTATCCTGAACTTTCATAGAAGTAACAGTTCTTTTCTCTGGTTCTGATACTGTAATCTCCATCCATTGTAATAAATTTTTCTACAACAAACAATCGAGACTGTGTCTTAGACAAGTAGACTGAAATGACTATGAAATGCATTTACATGTATAAATCAAATGTATTTAAAGTATAGTTCAAATTGCTCGTTGAACATTGTTGAAGCTATCTTTTCATTGAAATTGCGAAGTGACAATCATATTTTTGTAAATCTGGTCATCATGGTCATGTTTTGTTCAGTTTTCAGCAAGAAGCCAGTGATTATTCCCGTTTGAATGGTTTTACACTAGTAAATTTTGGGGCCCTTTATAGCTTGCTATTCGGTGTGAGCCAAGGCTCCGTGATGAAGACCGTACTTTGACCTATAATGGTTTACTTTTATAAATTTTGACTTGGATGGAGAGTTGTCTCATTGGCACTCATACCACATCTTCTTTATCTATGTAGGGTATTTCCACTTACAATGTATGTCCTTACTGCCTTCATCAGTTTGGGACCAGTCAACCAAATAAGTTTGTTCATATATATATATATAATAACTCATTTGGGAAATAATTTTGCAAACAATCTTATAATTTTGAATTTCAGCAAAATTATTCTTTAGTGCATATGTACAGATCATTAGTAGCAACTTTTGGTTAATGATTTTTCCAGAAACTGACTAAATCGCTAGTTTGATCCCTCAGAAATGTCAATCCTCTGAGGATTCAATCTCATAAACAAACATATTTCCAGAAGAGTTGTTCACCAAAAGTTGACTGTTGTTGTCTTTTATGTAATCATTTGCACTTTTTTGATAAAAAAATTATTTTCCTTAAAATCTAAAATTAAGATTTTTTGCACTGTAAAATTATTTTTCGTTTTGGGTATTATATCCTTAACAAGGCTATCATAACCAATTCGGGTGACTGATCACAACCTGTTATTTTTTATTCAAATTATCTTATCAATTTAAGGTACAACTACATGTGTCAGAACGACACAAGAAAAGCTTGAAGCTATAACTTAGGATTGGAAATTTGAGAATGAAAGTCTGTATAGCTGTTATTTTCACAAAATTTTCAAAGTCCAAAGACCGTAATTTCAGCAAAACTCATGGAGGCAGAATCAAACTGAACTCGATATGTCAGTCATCATAATAGTAGACACACAAACTAAAAATCAGCTCGATATGTGTAGGCACTTACCAAAAAATGTCCATATAACTGTTATTTTCACAAAATTTTCAAAGTCCATGCAAATTAAGCCAGTAATTTTGGCAAAAATCAGCAGAGCAGAACCAAGCATAAACTTGATCTGTAACTCATCATAGTTGAATCACACACTAAAAATCAGCTCAATATATGTCAAGGCAATTAGAAAAAAAATCCATATAACTATTATTTTCACAAAATTTTCAAAGTCAAAAAGCCTGTAATTTCCGCAAAAATCAGATGAGGGAAACCAAATGTTAACTCCATCTGTAACTCATCATATTTGACTCCCATACTAAAAATCAGCTCGGTATGTGAAGGTGCTTAGTAAAAACTCTGTATAGCTGTTATTTCCATGAAATTTTCAAAATCCAAAACCTGTAATTTCGGCAAACATCTGCGGAGCAGAACCAAACTTTAACACTTTCTGTAACTCATCATAGTCATGATAGTAGCACACATACTGACAATCAGTTTGATATGTGAAGGCATTTAGAAATAAAATGCTCCGCAGGGCGCAGCTTGATACGACCGCAGAGGTCGAACCCTGAACAGTTGGGGGAAGTATGGACACAACATTCAAGCTTGATACAGCTTTGGATTTGGATTGTGATTAAATATTTGACACAGCATAGGTTTCTAACACAGATTGAATGTGGTCTAAGAACTTAAAAATTTTAAATTGGACATTCACCTATTATGGTCCAATATCCAAAATCTAAATACATGGTTAGATTCAGCATATCAAAGAACCCCAAGAATTCAATTTTTGATGAAATCAAACAAAGTTTAATTTTGGACCCTTTTGACCTCAATGTGGACAAAGTTGATAACGGGGCCCAAAAATCAAAAATCTAAATACATGGTTAGATTCAGCATATCAAAGAACCCCATATATTCAATTTTTGTTGAAATCAAACAAAGTTTAATTTTGGACCCCGATTTGGACCAACTTGAAAACTGGGCCCATAATCAAAAATCTAAATACATGTTTAGATTCAGCATATCAAAGAACCCTAAGAATTCAATTTTTGTTAAAATCAAACTAAGTTTAATTTTGGACCCTTTGGACCTTAATGTAGACCAATTTGAAAACGGAACCAAAAATTAAGAATCTAAATACACGGTTAGATTCGGCATATCAAAGAACCCCAATAATTCAATTTTTGATGAAATCAAACAAAGTTTAATTTTGGACCCTTTTGACCTCAATGTGGACAAAGTTCATAACGGGGCCCAAAAATCAAAAATCTAAATACATGGTTAGATTCAGCATATCAAAGAACCCCATATATTCAATTTTTGTTGAAATCAAACAAAGTTTAATTTTGGACCCCGATTTGGACCAACTTGAAAACTGGGCCCATAATCAAAAATCTAAATACATGTTTAGATTCAGCATATCAAAGAACCCTAAGAATTCAATTTTTGTTAAAATCAAACTAAGTTTAATTTTGGACCCTTTGGACCTTAATGTAGACCAATTTGAAAACGGAACCAAAATTTAAGAATCTAAATACACAGTTAGATTCGGCATATCAAAGAACCCCAATAATTCAATTTTTGATGAAATCAAACAAAGTTTAATTTTGGACCCTTTGGACCTCAATGTGGACCAATTTAAAAACGGGGCCCAAAATCCAAAAACTAAATACACGGTTAGATTCAGCATATTAAAGAACCCCATGAAATCAAAAATAAAACCCCATTGAAATTGGTCAAGAAATAAGCAATTTATAGGAAGTATCTTCTTTTGCACAATCCTGTGCTATTAAATATTTCTTGCTATTGTGCAATACTGTACAATTGACAATTTCTTGCTATTGCGCAATACTGTGCAATTGAAGATTTCTTGCTATTGCGCAATACTGTGCAATTGAAGATTTCTTGCTATTGTGCAATACTGTGCAATAGAAAATGTCTTGCTATTGCACAATACTTATTATATAATAATTTACACATCCTGTTTGGTGTGTATCTCCAACCATATCATTATTATTTGATTTTAAATATAAATCAGAAATAACCAACTTAAAATGGAAAATTTTAAAAGAAACAAAAAGGAAAAAAAGAAAAAAAAGGAAAAAAAAATAAATCCCCCCCCAAAATTTTTTGAACCCCCATTATGATTCATCACCCCCAAACTCAATCCCAGCCTTCCCTTTGTGGTATGGTACCTTGCAGTACAATTTCAGAGAGATCCATACACTTGAACACAAGTTATTGTCTGGAAACTAGAAAAAAATGTGTTTTTTGGCCCCTTTTTGGCCCCAAATTCCTAAACGTTTAGGGCAATTACCCCCAAACTCAAACCCAGCTTTCCCTTTGTGATATGGAACCTTGTAGTACAATTTCAGAAAGATCCATACACTTACACACAAGTTATTGTCATGAAACTAGAAAAATGCTTGTTTTTTGCCCCTTTTTTGGCCCCTAATTCCTAAAATTTGGAGGCAATTACCCCCAAAATCAATCCCAGCATTCCTTTAGTGATATGGAACCTTGTGGTACAATGTCAGAGAGATCCATACACTAACACACAAGTTATGTCTGGAAGTTACAAAAATGCTTATTTTTGGCCCCTTTTTAGCCCCTAATTCCTTTACTGTTATTACCATAACCCCCAAAATCAATCCCAACCTTCCTTTTGTGGTATTGAACCTTGTGGTAAAATTTCATAAAGATCCATTCACTTAAACTAAAGTTAGAGTGCGAAAACCAATGTGTCTTCGGACGACGCCGGACGACGACGATGACGACGACGACGACGACGACGCCAACGTCATACCAATATACGACCACAAAAATTTTTTTGCGGTCGTATAAAATGTCTATAACGGTCACGAAATTTTCAAAGTCCAAAGCTCGTAATTTCTGAAAAAATCATAGTAGAACCAACTCACCATAGTCGACTCACATGCTAAAAATAAGCTCGATATGTTTAGAAAAAAGTCCCTGTAACTGTTATTATCACGAAATTAACAAAGTCTAAAGCCTGCAATTTCCGCAAAATCAGGGGAACGGAACTCAATCTGTAGCTCATTATAGTCAACTCACATACTAAAAATCAGCTCAATATTTGAAGACGTGTAGAAAAAAAGTCTATAACTGTTCGTTGCGAAATGACAGATTGAAAGATAAGGGTAAAACTATATGGACCCGACCACTTTGTCAATGATAATAGGACTCAGGTAATGTAATCAGGACATGTCCCATGGACACATGAGTTTCTGATATTCTGTCTACACAGAATATCATGCAACCAGGATGCATGTTAGATAGCCCAAGACTTTTGTATATAACAGTTGTATACTGAAAATTTGAGATTGGCCAGTTAAAGATAATTTTCCATTGTTTTATATTACAACTGGGACTATTATACTAAGGGAGCTACCATATGATTTTTATGGGGCTAGGAAGAAATTTGAAAAAAGGCAGGACAGGAGTTTTGAGTGAAAAAAAAAGGCAGGACAAGCAACTTGGCAAAAAAAAAGGCAGGATGACAATTTATGTGTAAAAAAAAGTCAGGATAAACTAATAAAAAAAAAGGCAGGACCGAATAGAGTAAAAATTTAAAAGGCAGGACAGAGATTACAACTAAAATAAAATGCAGGGAAACATTTTTCATCCTAGCCCCCCCCCCCCCAATAAAAATCAAATGGTAGCTCCCTAACTTTAGTATAATAGTCCCAGATTACAATTTATGGCATTTGCTTCTACTTCTACTTCTACCATATAATGGCCACAATCAACAAACTGAATATTTTGTCATGACTTTGATGTGCATACAATCCCCTTCCCCCATAATGTTTGAATTTAATTCAGCTTTGTCCTGAGTCTTTGAAAGC